AGGTCCAAGATGAATTTTTTTTTTTTTTTAATTCTCACCGACTCTGAAATCTCTCAACAGTTGTGAGTTATCTTTTTTGATGCATTATGGCCAATAAATGTACCAGTGCAGCATTCCCCAGTAAAATCTTGTCTTTGGCTATACTTTTCTGATTATTTTGAGAGGCGAGAGTGGAGTTTCACATGTCCTTCTTCATCACTGTTGTGAAACTGGAGGAGAAAAAAAGGATTGGGGAAGATGCTCAGGCTTGGATTGCCATGGAAAGTGCAAGTCTTGCTGTATGGTGGCGGTATTCTCATAAAGCCTTTGGCTTCTCTTTCAAAACACAATTTATTCTACTGATCATGTTTCTCTTTGTCGTGCAGCGTTTTCAGGAGCATAGCACTTATTTGGAAGACTAATTTTGTTGATAGCGGTAATACCTCAATTTTGTCTGTGAATGAAGAGTTTCGCTATTCAGGCTTGTTGAGGAGGGTGGCAGTGGGCACACTAAGTTTCTCTGTACCCTTTGGTACTGAGATTAGAAAGCAATGTTACAGAATTGTCTGGAGGGTGCAAGGACTCAAGACTGACAGCCACTTGTACAGTCAGCTAGATTTAGTGCTTTGAGGAACAACCATAAAAATCTTTGGGCTCTGGCAGTATCTAAGCACTCACTGAGAACGTTAATGGTTCAAGGGTTGTGGAATTAGTGAAAGATTTGAGGTCTGAGTTTTTTCAGTTTAAGAGCACAGTTTATTACTCTGCCTCAGCTGCAGTGAAACAGGGTGTCCATCCGTTCAGGCTGGCTTGGTCTGAGCTTTCATTGAAGATAACTCACAAAACTGGTTGAAGTGTGTTGCTGTCTGGCAGTATATAGCTTAGTCAGAGCCAAGAGAGCAGGTTTGAGTTCTTGTCTTCTGCTAAGTGCTAGGGTTAATGTTGGGGAGGGGAGTGCAGCAAGTATTAGAAATGCTTTTTTTTCTTTTTTTTTTTTTTTAAAAAAAAGGCGTGACTGGAGTTTGGTTTTCAAGAAGCTTTCATACCCTCTCACTGTCTGTCCCATCTCCCTTGTTCAGGTAAAAAGAAAGAGCTATCCTTCTCACTCACTGGGACTGTCAGTTAGGATAAAAGCATTTTTGTCTCTCATTTGAGCAGATGTGACCTGGAAATTGTTGAGGAACAATAAATATGGAACCCCACCTTGCTGTTTTTACTGAGTCATTTTTTTTTTCAGAGCAGAGTCGCACTTTAAATAGCATCACTTAACTCATGGGAGCTGCTTGAATCAAGCCTGTCACATAAATTACAATCTCTGAACTCTGTTGTCAGGAAGCCTGCCTGGGAGTTGATACCCGAGGGGTGTCAGTGGAAGGGGCTCAGTTTCATGGAAGGCGGGAGGAATCTAACCATCAAGTGAAGATGCTTGTCCTTTGCTGTGTCCTCACGTTACCCCAAGCAGCTAGGGCGTCTTAATCCCGCCAGAGGCGAGGTCGGATATGACCTTCACTGATCAGACTGCCCTTGTTCCCGTTCACTTCAGAAGCTGCAAGACTCCATCTGTTGACATCTAGAGCAAGGCTGCATCCTCCCGCATTTCAAGCAATTAGGCCTGGCTCAGCAAGTGGCCTTATAGTAAGGGCTTTAAGGTTATTGTTTCCTTAAAGGGATAAAGACCACAGGCTTTTCTGTGTTGCTGCTTTTTTCAGCTTTGAAACTGCTGCAGTTGAAACTAAATTGGCCCATCTGGTAGCAGAGATGAGCTGTGCCAGACGAATCTGGCTTGCTGAGCAGCAGTGCTGGGAAAGGTTCAAAAGGCAGCACCTACCCTTTATTGTATTTCCTGCAAGCTGAGGAAAGCAGTGTTTTGTGAAGCAATTTTGTATCCTCATTATATGTTGCTTTTGGCATGGGTGTTTTTATTTCTCCCATTTGAAGTAAGCGGGAGAACAAAATGAATAAAATGCCGATCCCAAAAAAGGGTAATGCACGGAATGGGAAAAATGTATCATAGCAAGAACGGTTGTAATTGTTTGCTGCCAGGAGTTGAAACATGGAGAACTGAAACTTTATAGTGTCAGCAGTGGGTTCCTGTCAAATGCTTTTCATCCTTTGGCTGCATGCAGGGGAGTCTCGCTGCAGCCGTATAAAGCGCTGTGTGATGTCAGCCTAGAGAACGCATGTTTTAGGCTTTTCCTGCGGCCACGCGGAGGGGGAATTTGCATCAATCCAAACGTTGACAGAACTCTATTTGTTGACTTGCAGAAAATCCTAGCTAATACTCCTTTGGGCTGTGATCGCCTAAGCCTAAACACAATGACTGCTGCCTGCGCTTGCTGGTCTCCCAGCCCAGATAAACCTGTGAACCAGATTAGTTTACTTAGGCCCCGATTCAGCAAAGCGCTCAAGAGTGTGCTTCAGTCTCTGCTTTCCAGTGAGATTGCTGGCATGCTCAAAGTTAAGCATGTGCGTAAGTGCTCTCCTGAGTGGGTGACAAAGAGGTCATCTGAGGCGGTGTGTGTTTCTGCTGTGCTTTGCTGATTGTCAAAATTGAGGTCCTGGTGTTAACATTTCATTATTTACTTCCTCCTGGTATAGAGGTCTTGGCCCTAGAGTCTGGGACGATTGTCTGTCTACCTTCAGAAAAGGGGGCTGTTTCAGTAGCACAGAGTAACATGGAAAAGCAGGAAACAATAAACAGACACTTTTTTTTTTTCCCATCGTAGAGTAGTATAGAGCAGGAGTCTCTTTTCTGTTTCAGTTAGCTGAACATCAGCAAACGTTTTTTCCTTAGAGTTCGCACTGTTTTTTCCACAAGAATTGTAAAAGGAAAATGTCAGCTTTGTTGCACGTATCTGAATGTATCAATATTTGTAGTGCAATGTCGCCTAGGGTTGATGCAACTTATCTTCCATTAACGTGATTCCTGTCAATGTGAGGACTCTCGGGATAGCGTAGTGCATGCAGACACCTGAATGTCTGTGCACGCACACGTGTGCTCCCGAGTTGCCTGGGTGAGAGCAAGATGATCGTTTCGTTGGCAGCATTCTTTAGGATTTCTCAAAGTGGAAGGGCTGGGAAGTGGCAGATCTTACTACACTGTTTATACATCTTGCTGCAATCATGCATTGAGGTCAGACTTGCTGTATCTAGGCCCAGCATTAACAGACCCTCATTTCTACTGGAGTCTGAAGCTCTGGAATAGGCACTTAATTCACAAGATGGTTGTATTTCAGTAGCATTCTTTCTAATCCCCACCCATATTTGACCTGTTCTAGCTCGTTTTTTTAAGAGCTGCACCCAGCCTGTCCCTCGTGCTCTGCGGAAAGGTTTACACACATCTCTCCCTGCTTGCTGAGCTCAGTTGGACTGGGAGTCTGGACATCAATGAATGGGATTCCTGTATCAAATTGCCTCATTTGCAAAATCGGGTTTGATTTAGAGCATCTCTGTTCCTTATGAAACCCAGAAGACATGACTATGGCTAGATATGCTTTTTCTTTCCTTTTGAAGTTGAAAACATGCCTAGCAAATCTGATGTTTGCAGTCTCTGTTCCCCACCTGATATGCAAAAATGCAAAGGTCCTTCCAGGCCTATGGGCTGGACTAACCTTGTGCTGATGCTGCAAACCTGAGTGTAAGAGTTGGGGTGCTTTCAGTTAGGAACTTGACTCTAATTACCTGAGAAAATACTTGCAATGTAGGTTTAACAAATGTTGTTTCTTAATGCAAAATAATTGAACCCATGAATCAAGCAGCCCCCCTGCCCCACCCCGTACTGCTGCTGACAGCATCTTCCCACACTTCTTCCTTGGTAGCATTGTTTGACTGTTCCAGCTCCAGCAGGTTTCAGTTACTGATCAGTGTAATTGCAACAACACATCAATAATAAAAGAAGAATTTAAGCTTCCTTTTCTTGTAGCTGAAGGCTCTTGTCTTAAGTTTTTTAATAGCAGTCACATGAACAACATCCTGTGCCTATCAAAGGTTTGCAAAAAATTGGATAGCAATACTTTAGAAAAATGAAAAAGGGCTGGATTTTGGGAAGTCTGAAAGAGCCCAATCCTATCAGGCTGCATTGGTGCATCTAATATTAGAATGGGAAACTCTGGGGGTGACTTAACATTTTAGCGGGTGCCAAGAGAAGCTTGAATAGGCATTTATTGGAAGTTACTTGCTGGATAACACAAGTTGCTGGAGTTGGAGTAATTTGAGTTGTCTTTAGTCTTGCTGAAAAATACAGCTGTGAACAATGAGTTATTTTTTTCCGTGTGTGTGGCTTAAGTTTCCCTGTCAGGTTTGCTTTTTGCTTTTGTTGATCCCAAATTTATCGATGTGTGACTATGAAGGAGTCATTTGTCTGGGTGTAGCGTCCCAGTCTGCTGCTGAGCCAGCTCTGTAGTTAGCAACGGGTTAAATGAAACACCTTAAAAACGCGCGTTGCAGTGAGAGGGCTGAGCTGTAGCAGTTCCTTCTGCTTTGTATACAAGAAAGCCACCGGCTGCTCTTCCTGCCAGAACGTTTCCTACAGAAAGGAGGGGGGAGACAGATTAATGGGGAAAAAATGCATGCGCTGGAAAAAGCCCGTATAGCAAAGCATTCCCCCTTTGCGTGAAAGGGCTGCGCGGTTCATGCATCGCACCCCGCGCTGTCTGCGCCCACCTCCCGCCTCGCTGCGTGCTGGCGGTGGCGCGTGGCCCTGGCCGGGCCCCGGCGGGGGATAACGGCAGTGGGCACAAAAATGAACGTCTGCCAGAAGCAGTCGATATGAAACGATCTCTTTTATTGGGCGGCTGCCCAGCCCTTCTGCTGCAACAGTAAATCTAATTGGTCGCTTGCTCCTACCATGCGCAGCTTCATGTGGGAAATGCCCTTTTTATCTACAATGGCTGACTGCACTGTGCCGCACTGTCAGTGTCTGGGGAGTCCCTCTCCAGCGAGCACGGCTCGTTCCTAGCGCTCGAGTTGGAAAGGGGGCGATTGTCTTGTTGTAGCTGATTCTATTTCTCTTTTTCCTGCAGGTTGCTGAAAAGTGCCTTTCCTGAAGCCACCGCTGCTTGGATTTCTGTCTAGGGCTGCCTCTCTCTTCCCCCTTCACCCCCCTTTTCTTTTTAATTTGGCGTTGCTTGCAGTTCATACCCTGACGGCAACTCATCCACCCTTTCTTTTTTTTTTTTTCCCCCCTCGCTCCCCACTTACACGCAGTTTGCTCAGCCATTTTTTCTTCTCCCGACTATGTAGCAAATATTTTAAAAAGAGGGGGAAAAAGAAGGAAAAAGCAAAAAGAAAAATTCTAACATCCTTTTGCTCGTTTTGATGCTCGTGAACCGTAATTTTTAGAAGCAAGAAATAGAAGGAAAAAAAAAAAGTTTTTCTCCCCAAGGACTGAGACCATTCCACAAACTGAAGTGCTGCCAACAGCATATGCTTTTTGCAAGAATAATTGAAACCATTAACTGGAGAGCACAGAATTCTTTTGAAAGTCTGCCAGTTATTTTCAAGTAACTTAGGCAGTGGCACAAAAAATAACACTTATATTTTAACTTCTACAATTGCACTTTTAGGAGCTGGCCTCTAATTTGATTTTCAGTTATTCTGATAAGATTTCTATTTTATGATTGGCTTTATGTTTAATTCTCGTTTAAACAAACACAATTTGACTTAAATGAAAACCTAAGTGCTGAAGAATAGGAATTCTACCAAAGCAACAAGTTAGTTATTTCTTCACGTTTAACTTGAATTCACTTTTTTACCCTTTTTTTAAAGAAAAAGATCAGCAGTAAATATTGCCCTGAAGAAGGGTGCGATTGCTTGCATTTTAATTTTTGTTTTTAATATGGCTGTGAACGTTTCCCTGGTCCGTGATACAAAATGGCTGACGTTAGAAGTGTGTCGAGAGTTTCAGAGAGGTACTTGTTCTCGGTCTGATGCAGAGTGCAAGTTCGCCCACCCATCCCGGAGTTGCCATGTGGAAAATGGTCGAGTTATTGCCTGCTTTGACTCCCTAAAGGTGAGGACTGTCTAACACGTGCGTTACCTAAGCTCACTTGCTTTCCTTCTCCTGTGAATGGCTCGGTGTGCTGGGATGCGAGATGTGCGGAGCGATTGTTTGCTAGTCTGCTCCTGCAGGGAGGATGCTGCTGATGTGGGATGTAGCCCCTGAAATCTAGGTTAGCTCGGAGTCCACGTTTCCTTTGTTCAGCTGCATTCAAAAACTGGAAGTTTTAGACAGTTTCTTATTTGGGGATCACAATGGTAGTAGAAATAAGGGTGGAGGGAGGCATGCTACTCAGCCACAGTTTGGTTTTTGGTCGAGTCTGAGATCAGGTATGATTGCATGAAGTGTTGGACATCACAGGGAGAAAAACAGAATTTTATTCAGAGTGTTTCTGGTTGCAGCTCAGGTCTGATATGGCTATCTTGAAATGGAGATTTCCTGTTGTGGGCAGTAAACGAAACTGAAATGAGAAAAGGAGAGAACTGAAACCTCTAGTGCTTTAATTTGTGTCCGCAGCACATTGGCTGGGCATTCGGTGCAGGGCTCTGAAATGTGCTTTTAATGAGCAGAAATAAAGGCAGCATTTTAAGATAATGAATCAGCTTTATGTGTATTTCCTGGAGACAGAGTAGCAGATACACTGTAACACCGTACTGTGTATGAGGAACAGCCAAAATATTTGGAGAGCAGTGCTCACAGGAAAATGGGTGTTGGGAAAAGGCATTCCGCAAAGGACATTGAAAACACAATTGCTCTGCTAGTCCTGCCTGAGTTAGAGCTAAGCCTTTCTGCTGGTGCTCATCTTTGCATAGCTGATTTTGCAGGAAGTAAATGGTTCTTTATTGCTTGTCACAGTCAAAGTTCAAGGAATAACTTTCCAATTTACCAAATGACCAGATCCCAAGTCATGGTGGGGCTGGAGGACTTAGAGGAGGGGAAGGGAGCTGAGCATCTTTTTGGTTTGGTCACTTCACTAGAGTTGTCTGGAAAGGAACCTACTTTTTCTGGAGCTGGGGCCCCCTCAAAGATGTTTTTAAACAGGATGGTAAAAACCCTGAGACATCACAGGTAACTGGTTGCTTCTGAGAACTGTTGATACTGTATTTAATGTTTCAGTTAGAGTTAGTAGAAGGAATTTGTTAACTCATACAAGCTAAAGTTCTCCCTTGAATTTAAATTGAACAGCCTTAGGTTTATTTTCATGGCCACAGTGGCTAAGGGAACTGGTGGAAGTATCTATGCACAGATTTGGATCTGGTCTACCCATTTTAGTACTGTTTGTGGCTTCTTCATATTTTCACTTTTTTGTTCCCTTTTACCAGGAAGTTCAAGCCTCCTATTTGCATTCAGTTTTGCTCTTGTTAAGCTGAGCATATGCAATGACTCTTTAGTTATACGGTGACTTTCAAATGTTCATTTACATTGCTAGCCTGCTGACAGTGAGAGACAAAAAATATTTTTATCAGAGGAAAAAAGAAGTCATGTTCTTTGTGCCCTTGAAACTTTTGAATTGTAGCCAGTGGCAGTGCAGATATTTTGAATGAAGAGATTAATACGTTTACAGTTTGTAGCATTCATTTGTGAACCGGAAGGAGTGTTACAACAATATGTGGGATAGTGTGGTGTCTTAGAGAACCCTCTCAAAAAGCTGCAAGCTGCAGATGGGTGGCCTCTCTGTAGCCACCCGGCTTGGGTCGGCTCAGTTTTTCTTAAGAGCGGTGAGTTGCACTGTAAGTAGCAGAAACTGGTGTCTCCCAGTGCCTAATGGTTGCCTGTCTGTGTTGGTTTGAGGGGGGCATCCGCAGTGCTCAGGCTCTCCGTGCTGGGCCTTTCTCTGCAGACCTCAGGCTGCAGCATGAGATTTGCAGGGCCCAGTGTATTGCCTAGTTCAAATCCCACCTGTTGGCAAGAGCACACCTTTCCTAGTGGTAAAGGAGGAGGAATGTGTTGGGGAACATCGTTCTGGGAAAGCAGAAAACTACCAAAGGAATCAGGGATGATCTTCTGCAGCTCAATATGCTTCCTGTGTAACTGGTTATTAAATAATGTTGTCATTGCAGTTGCCTCTTGACACAGTAGCAAATGCCCACTATGTGCTAGTTAGGTGGCCTGAATTTGCATGGGAACAGGTTTTCTGGATTTTCCAGGCTTTGGACAGCCTTATGGAGAGCTGAGAGCTCTGCCCTGCAGGAAGTACACCTGGAGGAGAGATCAGACTGTGCAGAGCATACGGCCAGGAGATGATGGTGGGGGCTGTATCTGCACCCAATTGCTCAAATAAGGAATGGGTCTCCAAGCCCTTCCTCAGACCCATGGTGGTTCTCTGCCTTAGAGCTTTGAGAATGGGCAATTGGCAGGAATTTGACCGGGCACATCCAGACCTGAAGCCCATGGGTAGACCCAGCTAGCTCTGCCCACTCTTGTGAGTGGGTTCAGTGGAGCTCCTTTAATGGGGGCTGCAAGGCCCTTGTGCATGGTGGTCCCACAGCTGGGCCGCTGCCCTGTTTCCAGGGCAGTGCCAGCACATGGCTTCAGCACGGCTTTGGAGAGGTGTTGGCCGCTCTTGCCGGACAGAGCCCGGGTTCTGTCATCTCTTGGGTCTGGGCTGTTGCCCCATTTAAAGGTGCAGTTCCCAACACCACCTCCTTCTTCCCCAACCAGAAGGCAGTCGTAATGACAGGTTAACACACAGGGTGTGTGTTTTGTGTATGTGTGTGTGCACCATATGGGTCCCAGTGGAGATAACCAGCCTGGTGACTAAACTCTCGAACAATACACTCTCTGTTCTTGGGCTGGAGCTGGGCTTGCAAGGCTCTGTTTGCCATGTTATTGAGGGGTTTATGGTCATAACGCTGGCCCTCTCTTCATGGTGGCAGGAGATATGTTCTGACCCATGACTACCTCTCTGGTTTGAGTGCGTTGACTAGTCTCTGTTAGCGGCTGCAACGCAGAAAGGACTACCCTTGGCTTTCGCCATGCTGCCACCAGCCCACGGGGTCGGTTGTCCGACCCTCCCTAGTGTCGGCACAGAACTGTATGTTAAGGCCCTAATGTAACGAGGTCCCTCCGTTAACACTGTTGTGTTCTCAAGCCTTCTCTTAAGAGGTTTTCATCCCCATTCCGTGGACGTCTTTGTGTGCTCAGTCGCTATTTCCCTGTGACAGCTGTTGAACACTGACCCTCTCCTCTCCTGCAGAGGGCTTTATAACTGCTTAGTGCTCTTTTCATCTTTTCACGCCCTGCATTAGCAGAACATCTGTGTTTCCTTACTGGAGACAGGATATAGGATGCTTGCAGCTAATAAGTTTTCCCGTTGTCTTGCAGTCGTCCAGGGCTTTGTTCAGAGGTTGCTTATCTGCATCCATTGTGTAGCGTTGTTGCTTGTTTTTTCTCGCAGAACACTTAAGCTCGAACAATATGTTCGAACAGGAACTTCTGATAACCCAGCATACAATGGTTTCGCCTCGCTGATCAGGTCACAAACAGCATCTATACAGTTACCACATCTTATTTTTCAATCTCTTTATAGCAGTTCTACTTCCCTTACAAGGGTAAGGGCAGTTATACTTCCAGAAGTAGTCAAGCTGCTTCACTGCATGTTCATGCGTGAATATGTGCTCCCTGTATGCTTGTAAAGAAAATACAGGACTCTTGGTGGGGTACTGTGGAGGCGTCGTTGATGCCAGGGTGGGGTTCACGAGTGGGGGCTCTGCAGGAGTGTTGCGTAGTTGTGAAACGCTTTGGTCGTAGAATATTGACCTGCAATTAAGCTGCAAGTGCAGGGCTGAATCTTGCTGCCCTGCCACTGTCTGCGGTGCTTCAAAGGGGGAGTTTGCACGTTTGTGGCAACAGAAGGAACCTTTCTCTAGCAGATTGATACAAAATTTAAAAATAGTGCCTGTGAGAAGCTGTTCACAGATTTGAATCGGATGCCAAGAGAAAACTCTCACTCTCTACTCACACTTTCTTCCTCATTAGTTCAAATAATGCTGCTCTTAAAGAATAATTTGTGTGAATGGAAGGGCGAGTCTGCCCTGCTTGGTGGAGGGCAGTGCTGCGGTCCCTGAGCCAACTGCTGCCATGCCACTTCCACATCCTGGAGTGACCATGGAGGTTGCTGGGCAGTGGCTTGTTCTCTGCAGTACCACCTGGACAGATCCCAAAGGGCCTCTGAGATGTTACTCAGCTTTCTCTTTTGATCTGTGGGCTTCTGGAGTGGTGCCTTTCATATGCAGGGGCGTTAGTATAGACAAAACCCAAGGTACTGTTCTGAAATGACTCCACTCTTCTTTTTGTAGAAGGAAACCTTGCCCTCCCTGCAAGCTGCTAGTTGATAAGGTGGTGTGAAGCCTGTTATGTTTTGCTGAGGAACGTTAGTTTGAGAAGCTATGAAATGAAAAATAAAATTTGAGCTAAGGAGAGAACTGTACTGCCATCACTGTAAACTGAGATGGCCCTTGTATTTGTGCATCAGCTTTTCTCTGGGTTTGGCATGCCCAGTCCTATACATAGCTGGTGCTATTTGTAAGGGTCAGGATATGGTTTGCTGGCTCTTGGCAGTTCTTCCTAAGATTGTCATGGCCCTGCAGTGGGCTGCCTGCAAGTGCTCATCAAGTCCTTTAACCTTCCTGTTCAGACCATACCAGGCAGCAGCAGGATGAGATTATCTGAGTCTTAAAACCTTCTCCAGCAAATCATTAGTTTGTATTCTTCAACTTCTAAAGATGCAAGGAAGAAAAAACATTCTCTGATCACTGGAAACACAAACTGATAAGCAGTAAGCGGAGAGAAAAAACATTAGTAGACAGTGATGTATTATATAAAAATATGCAGGTAGTACAGACCAGGTGTTCAAAAAAGCTTTGATTTATGCAGCTCGCAGTTCACATAGCTGCACTGTGGGCTTATGGTTAAAAACATTATTTACAAGCCTAGCTTTGATTTGTCTTTTTTTAATTTGCTTTATGAGTGTAGATGTTTCCATATGCAAATCCAAGTTTTGAAGAGAGTTT